AGAACCCGTGATAGGCGAAATCCGTGAAGTAGTAACCTTTATTTTTTACTATTATTATACAATGAAATACTCATTAAAACCAAAGAACAAAACCTTTTTACAGGCCCAAGCTTTTGTTTAACAAATAAAAGTACTGTATAAACGTTTTTTACAAATAACTACTGTTATGTAAAGTAATAATTCTAATCACCAATACGAACATGAAGGCTTCATGGGTTTTAGAGAAAATTTGCAAACTTAAATTTGGCAAGTGGTTTTACGTATATGTGCATATTAAACAGTAACGTTATTGGCACACAGGTAGAAAAGAAGCGGAGAGACTGTTTAGCCAATCAGAATGCAGAACACAATGCACAATGCAAATCCGTGAAGCAGCGAGAACGTGAAAGGTGAACCGCGTTATAGCGAGGGTTCACTGTACTACTATTCTTTTCCTACTACTACTACAATTGCTACTGTTGCTTTTACTGCTACTACTTAAAACTATGTAGATAATGGTAATGATAGTAGTAATAATGATAATGACAATGATAATAAAGATAAATTTAATAATGATGACGATTATATATTATTACTACTATCATTATTATTATTATTATTTTTATTATTATACTGATGCTGATAATATTGTTTTATCTTAAGTCAATTCACTAACATTAAAAAAGAGATAAAAATCATGATGCTCCTTCAGATATCATTCGAGTAGATATGCAGAAGAATAATAAAAAAAGAAAAAAAAAGAAAGAAGAAAAGGAGAGATAGAGAGAGAGAGAGATAGTAAAGTAGATATGCAGAAGAATAATAGAATAATACAAAAAAGAAAGAAAGAGAAAAGGAGAGAGAGAGAGAGAGAGAGAGAGAGAGAGAGAGAAGAGAGAGAGAGAGAGAGAGAGAGAGAGAGAGAAGAGAGAGAGAGGAGAGAGAGAGAGAGAGAGAGAGAGAGAGAGAGACGAACTGGCAGAGAAAGGTGCAACACTGCATGCACTATCTTCCTCTTTCTCTCAATGCACACAATGACAACAGACAGACTTTTGAGGTTTCAGTGTAAAGAATCACACCAAGATTTTCCTTCAGTCTTTTTGTCAGTCATTTAAACCTTTGGCGAGTTGGTAGCGTGGACATGTGTTAATTTTGTATAATATATGTATTACGTATGAAGGGAGTGAAATGACTGTAGCGTGTGTATATATATGTATATATATCATTATGATTACATACGCACACACACACACACACACACACACACACACACACACACACATATACATATATATATATATATATATATATATATATATATATATATATATATATATATATGTGTGGTGTGTGTGTGTGTGTGTGTGTGTGTGTGTGTGTGTGTGTGTGTGTGTGTGTGGGTGTTTATGTATATATGCATATACATGTGTATAATATATGTATATACACACACATATATATATGTATGGATATATACACAATTAATATATATATATATATATATATATATGTATGTATTTATATTTATATATATATATATATATATATATATATATATATATATATATATATATATAATATGTATATGTATATATATACAGTAGTCAAATCTAAAAGAGACTTCTTACCAGAGAGAGAGAGAGAGAGAGAGAGAGAGAGAGAGAGAGAGAGAGAGAGAGAGAGAGAGAGAGAGAGAGAGAGAGAGAGAGAGAGAGAGAAAGAAAGAAAGAAAGAAAGAGAAAGGGGGAGGGGGAGAGTGAAATATACATAGAATTCATTCTGAAGTGAGCCCTCGGGTTAGGTGTGATGAAATAAACTCTTTTTTTTTTACATTTGAAATAGGAAAATGTCAAAGATGACAAAGCATGGGCGTAATTTTCTTCCAGGAATGGGCGTCAGCATCATTTTAAAAATATTTCTTTCGCCATCTGTGCCCGCCCACCCTACGAATAAATGTTCATGGAAGCTGAAACACTGTTCATTACAAATTTTACCCTCATGTTCTTTGTTCAGAATCTAACCTTAACGCAAGATATGACCAAATGACATTTAAAACCGTTAACTGTAATTTTGTTTCTCAGATCTCATCCCTTTGTTTTTAAAAATTCTAATATATAATTATACAGTAAGTGGGCTAAAAGGGTCAGAACGACATTTAAGACCATCAACTATAATTATGTTTCTCAGATCTCATCCCTTTGTTTTAAATAGTTGTATTATTAAATATACAGAAAGTGGGCTAGAATGCTCACACATGTCAGTATGTCCGTTTAAAGAAAAAGAAAAAAATGAACAAAATCCACAATACCCAAACAAGGTCATAAGTAACCATGCTCGAGTACATATTCAGGTGGACTGAGGACGTTACGTGGCCGACTCTCACACATTTTTGTTTTGTTGTCGAGACGATAAGGTAATACTTGAATGGGTGTGAATATTGGTGATAGGTTTCTAAATCTTTGCTAAGATGGGAAGGGGGAAGAGAGAGGAAGAAAGAGAGAGAGAGAGAGAGAGAGAGAGAGAGAGAGAGAGAGAGAGAGAGAGAGAGAGAGAGAGAGAGAGAGAGAGAGAGAGAGAGAGAGAGAGAGAGAGAGAGAACAACAGACAAGAGACAGAGACAAACGGCCAAAAAGAAGTGTGAGGTTAGCCCTAACTAATTAGCACCTTTCTCCACCTTTTACCTGCCGTTATACCCCCCCCTAGTCTCCATTCACAAATCGCCCTAATGCGTATAGCTTTCTCCACCACTCCAGGCGGTTGTACAAACAGATGCCATTCCTCTGCCTCCGTTCTTGTTCCTCCATACAACACAGGAATTGTAAACAAAAGGCCAAAGATGTCAACAAAGTCAGAGATCCCAAGCAAAGGTCGTGATTTAAGTACTATTACAATACGTATATACATTCGCGGTAAAAAAACATACGAAATAATCTGAAAAAATCAGAAGTGAATGAAGGTATACTACATGCGTTAACAAATGAAGAGATGTACATACGAAAATAATCTTTTGAAAAGTCAAAGGTAGATTAAGGTATACTACATGTGTTAATAAATGAAGAGAAGAGGTGTTGATAATGAGAAAACTACAGTGAAAGGTTTATTTTTGTCTTAAAGAAGAGAGAAAAGTAAAATATTTTCCCAGTGCAGATGAAAGGTTGACTTTTGTTATAAAGAAAATTGAAATGATTCGTGTCAGCTGCTTGTCACGTGATTCATAACGCGAATGGAGGACACGGAAGAAGACAAAGAAATAATGCAAAGTAATATAAGTTGCGTGCAAGATTGAGGAAGAAGAATAAACCAAACAAAGAGTGTGCTGTGTCATCGTGAACTTATATATTTACATATTATATTTTGTTTTAATTTACCAACACACCAGACCATCGGTCAAAATGTGAAGGTATGTCCAAGATTCTCTCTCTCTCTCTCTCTCTCTCTCTCTCTCTCTCTCTCTCTCTCTCTCTCTCTCTCTCTCTCTCTCTCTCTCTCTCTCTCTCTCTCACACACACACACACACACACATATATACATATACACATGTGTGAGTGTGTGCGAGTATTTGTTTGTCTGTATTGCATGTGCAAGACACTAAAATCACACTATCAAAAACACAAATTTCCCTTACAAAGAAATCGCAAACAAATCTCAAACCTGAAACACAACCGGATATGAATGACTGCCCTACTCTCGCATGACGTCATCTTACTAGTTCTTTTTTTTCCGTGTGTAGTAATGCCGGCTTCTCGTTTTTTTTTTTTTTTTTTTTTTTTTTTTTTTTTTTTTTTTTTTACGTAATACCATGTTCTTCTCTTCTGGCCATTCTGAAGAACAATGTCCATTCGTCCAATGTTATTCAGAGTGATAGTGAGGCACAACGGTTGTTATTTTTTCTATAGGTGATTAGATATTCATAAACTCATGTTTATTTTCATGGAATTTGTAAAGAAGAATGTATTTGTTATGGAGGAATTTAGTGTTAAGTGCAGCCACCGGATACTTTTAATTCGAACAAATAAGCATAATATTATATCATTAATAAGATGTCTAAATACAAGGCAATGTTGTCTTGCTAAATTGTTTCCGGTTTTAAAGTATATTGTATCTTTTCACCTGCCAACTTGCACGCACGCACGCACGCACGCACGCACGCACACACACACACACACACACACACACACACACACACACACACACGCACGCACGCACGCACGCACGCACGCACCACCCACACACACACACACACACACACACACACGTACGTTTATCTCATTCATGTATATGTATCAGATACGCATGCAAGTATGTAAGTGTATAGATACAGACGGTAGATACAAATAGATGTATAAATACGCAGTAGACATCAAAGCAATAATTGCCGATCACGTGACAGGACGGAGCCTAAACTACCCGTACAAGCAATTAATGTTTGGCCCACTCTGCAAAGTGGATTTGTCCCAGAGATGCCGTCTATTGTGACCTGTTTCTCCGTCTGTTTTTTTTTTTATTCCATGGCCAAAGTTTGCATCGTCTGTTCTCCTATTGTGACCTGTTTCTCCGTCTGTTTTTTTTCTTTTTTTTATTCCATGGCCAAAGTTTACATCGTCTGTTCTCCTATTGTGACCTGTTTCTCCGTCTGTTTTTTTTTTTTTTTTTTTTTATTCCATGGCCAAAGTTTACATCGTCTGTTTTCCTCTGATAAGAAAATAATGCGTAACTGCTTTTCCCTCTGTCGTAACGAGGAATGCATAACCGTTTCGTAACCTTGCCAACGTTTTAATCGTAAGGCGGTTAAGGGTCTTGGATCAGGATGATGTAATACAACGGTGGAATTATTGCATACTGTTTTACTTCTCTCCGTTATCAGGAATTTGTTTGTGCTTTGTTTTTTGTGTTTTTTATACTCTGTGAAATATTTCGTCTACATTTCGTTTCATGTTTTTTTTTAATAGTGAAGAGAAAAAGATGAAAAACGGGAAAGGAATAAAAGTATTTCGTACAATAAGAGGAATTCATAAACTTACCCATTTTCCCTGGCGTATGGACAGCTCATCTTGTACAAAACGGAGTATTATCTCCCTCGACGATTAGTCTTGGAAAGTGCAATAACCGAACCAGAAAAAAATATATAAATAAAAGAAAAAAAGCCACAGTCTGCCAATGGATTTGCTTGGTCAAGCAGCAATTAAAGTTCCGTCGAAGAACAGTGCAGAGAACCGTGCCGACTCCCTCTGCCAAAGGAGTGAACGAGGAAGTCCGAAAGGGCACGCACAGACGCGTCGACAAAGAAAAAAAATGAGGGCTTAAATCCAGACGGAGGAGCGCGAAGGGGCACGTGTCTCTCCGCGAACGTCTTACTGTGAACTGATCTCTCGGCTCGCCTGCAGGACAGACAGCCGTGTAGCGCTAACGTAGCACCTCCTCGGCCTCCCCCCCCCCCCCCTCCTCCTCCTCCTCCTCCTCCTCCTCCTCCTCCTCCTCCTCCTCCTCCTCTCCTCCTCCTCCTCCTCCCCTCCTCCCCTTGGCTTACTCCCCCGTTCCTCTCGCCTTCGGATACCTGACTAGACCTAACGTGCTCATATTGGCTGTCCGGTCGGTGGTAGACGCGGATGCCGACGGTCTCAGTTTCAACTCGGTTTTATTACTTTTACGAGTGATTTTTCACCCTCAGACTCCGATGACTGGATGCCAAAGACCTGTGGTTGTGGTGGACTCGAAACGCCATAGCAGTCTTGTGCGAAAATAACTTCCTTTGAGATCCACCTTGCGATCGGTGAAAGCCATAGAGGAAATAGGTTGCGGTGAAAAAAAACTTGAAGAATCCACCCCCCCCCCTTCCGCGACACCTATCCGGCTTAGAGGTCAGAATTGCATGTTTAGGCAGGCAGGTCGGAGGGTCGCAGTTCAAACCGAAGAACTACAAATTCATGTCATTTTCTCGGCATGTTGTATGCACTTTTTTAACAAATTTCAGGTCAAGACGCATAGCGGTCAGGAGCCGGGTTAAAAAAAAGAATCCTTATTTGTTTACGCAGTAGAAACTGGTTTAATCCTGAGTTGATAAAAAAAAAAAAAAATATGCAGCATCAACTGGCAGTCCTGGGTTGATACTCTTGACTTTATGTACTTAGTAGCGGCTTATAATTTCTGACAGATCCATGGAGATAGACAAATTAAAAGTACAATGGGTGATAACAAGCGAGTAAAATGTATGCATGGTGCTAGATTAGGTTAGGTTAGGTTAGTGATTTCATTCTTGACTCCACACAGTCTCATTATGGTCTGAGAATAATAAGATTTATGCAGTTAATCCAAATAAGAATAATATATTAGTAATGAATTCATAATTCAGACCTCAGACAGTACCCACAGAAAAATCATATTCTATTATATAAATCAATCGATAACTACTTACCATTAGTAATGCAGATAGCAACAGATTCTTAAATATGTCCTCATCTTGGGGAAAATATATTAACAGCCATAATGTTTATTCAATAATCCCATTCTCAATCATCTAAATTCCTTGATCAATGTGTTTCTATATATATATATATATTTTTTTTTTTTTTTTTTTTTTTTCTTTTCTTTTTTTTCTTTTTTTTCTCTTTCTTTTTTCAAATTCCTTGTTATAGAATGAAATTTGACATGATGAAGGGTTGATCCGACAAGTTAGTTTTCCCACTTTTCTTATATACGAATTGAAGTCTCATTCAGGAAAAAAAAAGTTTTTCGTGTGGGTAATTTCAAGTATATGGTGTCTTCGTAAGTGGTTAAATTCCGAATTAAAGTTAAATTTCAGTATAATATTTTTTTCGTTAGTGGCTAGAATCTTAAATAGAGTTTCATTTCAGTTAATTTTTTTTTATCGCTAAAATGTGATTTTTTTTCGGAAGTGGCTAAAATCGAAATTGAAGTCTCATTTCAAGAAAATGTATTTTCGCATGTGGCTAAAATCCGAATCAAAGTCTATTTCAGTTCAAAGTTTTCGTATGTGGCTAAAATCCGAATTAAAATCTATTTCACTTCAAAGTTTTCATATGTAGCTAAAACCAAATTAGTCTATTTCAGATCAAAGTTTCCCTAAGTGGCTAAAATCCATTCAATCCTTTACATACATTTCCTTAGCCTCTCACTACCACTCTATATCATTGGTCAAAGAAAAATGGGAGTTTTCATCATACCATCTCGTCTCTCACTTTCCTTTGTCTCTCTTCATACTCAAAACACACCAATTTATATTCTCATCGTCCACCATTCCTATCGTCGTTACTCATTGTACACCTCTTTCGTTTTCTTTCTTTTTCGTCTTTTTTCCTTTCTTTTTGTTTTTTCCCTTTCTTTTCTTTTTTTTTCTTTTTTTCTTTCTTTTCGTTCTTTTACATTTCAGTGTTGAATAGTACCCAAATTACGTGCACCAGAAGCCGACTACTAGCCAGGGGGGGGGGGGAGGTTGTTTATGTAAACTAGATTAAATCCGATTCTTTGCTATTCAGGGAACACGTGGGAGCGGCCTGGCTATTCGAAACTGTAAACATCTTTATCTTTCGTGAAGATTGGACACGTGGCTTCGTGAATGATATTAACCTTGCGTGGATAAGTCACCAGCAAGCCACCTAAGAATTTTATTTGCCAGGAAATTATCTTGTGAAAAAAATAAATAAATAACCGATCTATTACAACTCATATGTACTATTATATTTCTATTTATATTTGCATTCCGGTCGAAGTTGTGGGAATTTTGGAAAGGTGCGGGAGAGAGAGAGAGAGAGAGAGAGAGAGAGAGAGAGAGAGAGAGAGAGAGAGAGAGAGAGAGAGAGAGAGAGAGAGAGAGAAGAGAGGAAAGGGAGAGAGAGAGTGAGAGAGAAAGAAAGATGCACACACACGCACACAGGTGACTTACATGCAAAAATGACCAACATGAACTATATATTTTTCACTTTCAAAAAAGTCTCCCGTTCGAAAACAAAACAAAACAAAGCCAACTTGACTATAGGCCTACAAAAATTACACCACATCAAGCAAAATTTCATCAATTCCCCCAAAACTCAGACTACAAAAACACGTTCAATCTACATCTCACTTTTAAAGGAATGAACAACTAATTACACCCAAACTTACTGATTTTCATTTAACTGAGGGTTGCGTAGAATGCAGAAAAATGCAAAATTAATTTATGACTTCAACACTACTACTAATATACGGCCATTTTTTTTTAAATTGTACGGGGAATATTCATATATACGGACAGGCATATACACAGAAATGGATGCATGTCTATCTGACTGATAGATATACATTTGTCTATTTATCCGGCAGATATATACATCTAGACTGATAGATATGCATTTATTTATCTATTGGCCGGTTTCTTAAAATTGTGTGAGGCCCGACCCAATGACCATTCATTGTACGAACAGGCATATAAACAGAAATAAATGCATGTATATAAGTCTAGACATACAAATCTACCATATAAATAGATAAATAAATATGTATATATCTGATAGACTGACAGATATGCATTTTTTATATACATATGCGTGTCTGTATATACGAATATTTATTAGGTTGGGCCTGGCACAATTTTATTAAACCGGCCGTATCTGTCCGGTAGATATGCATGTCCAGACTGACAGACATGCATTTATTTCAGTGGATATGCACGTCTATGTAATAAATATTCTTTAGAGATTCGCACAATTTAACAAACCGGCCGATAATCATGTTAATTAGCAAAAAAAAAAAATGAAAATAAAATAATAATAATAAATTTAAAAAATGAAAATAATAATAGTAATAATAAAAAAATAATGATAAGAAATAAAATCAATAATGATGATGATGATTGATAATAAAATAAATGAAATACGAATTATGATAATGTAAGCTCAGGGGGAGAGGGGGGAAAGGGAATGCCCCTCTTATGACCCTGTGACCTTGGATTTGAAGGGTCAGTGAAGGAAGTTCATATCCGCAGGCACCAAAACTTCCTATGTTCTGGTTGAGAGTATATGAGTGAGGCATGAGGGGTAGGAGAGGAGAGAGAGAGAGAAAGGGGAGAGAGAGAGAGAGAGAGAGAGAGAGAGAGAGAGAGAGAGAGAGAGAGAGAGAGAGAGAGAGAGAGAGGAGAGAGAGAATAGAGAGAGAGAGAGAGAGAGAGAGAGAGAGGGAGGAGAGAGAGAGAGAGAGAGAGAGAGAGAGAGAGAGAGAGAGAGCAACAGAGATGGACAAAGAGAGGAAGTGAAGGAAGAAATGGAAGGAAGGGCGCAGTGAAGAGAGAGAGAGAAATTCGCTGAGAAGAGAACGAGGGAGAAAGAGAAGGAGACAAAGTCGTGGCTATATTAACCAAGGACACCCAAAGGGCATCCGTCAGAAGTGCTTGCTCTCCCTAAAGAAAGCAACGATGCTTGATATAATATGTGTAACTGTGAAGATTTTTTTTACTCTAAATATCAGAACGTTAAACAAACAATTTCTCTGTCTGTAAGATTTAAAAAAACAAACAAACAATACTAATGATATTTTTTGGCTGAAGGATCACTTAAAAAACATAATAATACAAATTATAATTTCTGCCTAAAATATGACTGAAAAAATAGATGATTAAAATTATTAAAAAAACAATACAAATGATATTTTTTGACTGAAAAAAATCACTTAAAAAACACACAAAATTACAAATTATCATTTCTCCCTTAGAAATGACTTAGAAATAACAAACAAACAAAGAAGAAATACAAATGGCCATTTCTGCATTAAGGATGACTTAAAAAAAATAAACAAATAAATAAGATATAATAAAAAAGAGGCACTGCAACTGACGCTCCCATGCAAAACCCTTCTTAGGTGAAAGTAAACTGTCTAGAGTAAAAGTCAGACAAAGTTCAAGATGTTGTTGGGTGCGAGATTTTGGCGCTAATCCAACTCTCATTTATTCAGACATTTTGTTTTCCTGAGCAAGGATAGGCAAATAAAAAAAACATTTGCTTGCGTTTTTATAAAAGTGATGGTAAAAATTCATGCTTGACAGTATCTGTTGCATGATGCATCACACACACACACACACACACACCACACACACACACACACACACACACACACACACACACACACACATATATATATATATATATATATATATATATTATATATATATATATATATATATAATATATATATATAAAGAGAGAGAGCGAGAGACAGAGAGAAAGAGAGAGAGAGAGAGAGAGAGAGAGAGCTACTGTAAACCACAAAAGCACAAAAGTACTGCATCTATAAATAAAACACATCATGCAACAGTGAAATATCTTCACAATTGATATGACAGTTCTTTCGTATGAACAATGAATAAGCAAAACATCAATGCTT